GGGTAGTGGGTTAGGGTGTTGGTGGACTGGAGGATTTTGTAAGGAGGGAGGGGGAGGGTGTTGAGTGTGGGAGGTGTCCAGAAGTTGCTTCGGTGTATGCGCCCTTCTTTCGTTGTGGTGGTTCTTGTCGAGATGATGGTTCGAGTAGGTTTGGCTTTCGGTTGGAGCGTTTAGCTCAGTGCGGTTGTGGCCAGTTTTGGGTAGGTTATGTCCCAGAGGTTCCAGGTTCGGTGAAACGCATTATATGAGTCGTGTATCTGTGCGGTTAATTCGTCTAGATCGTGAGTTTCTTTGATCTTGTTGATGATAGTCGAGATTGTGGGAGTTCGGTGGTCGGCCCATCGTTCCGCTATTGCCCTTCGGGTTGCCAGCGATATCCTGGCAGTTAGTTTGTTTTCGCTCCTGGTGAGGGAGTCCAGCGGTTTGTTGAGTAGCATCATCCATGGATGTGCAGTGATGGGTTTGTCGAGAATCTGTTCTATGAGGCCGCAGATTTTGGTCCAGAGTGGCTTAATTTTGGGGCAGTTCCACCAGCAGTGTAGATAGGAGCCGGTGTCGCTGCATAGTTTCCAGCATAGATTGTCGGGTTTTTGGCCCATTTTGTGGAGTCTGTGCGGTGTCAGGTACCAACGGAATAGCGTTTTGTATGCTTGTTCTTTGTGAGCAACGCATACTGTCAGGGAGTTCGTTGCTTCCCAGATTTCGGCCCAGTCGCTCGGTTCCTCCAGTGGTCCGAGGTCTCGTTTCCATGCAGCGATGTAAGTGAGGTTGATTTGGGAGGTGTGTGTCGTCAGAGTGGTGTATATGTTGGAGATTTGCCCTGGATGTAGGGGTGCATCGAAGCACCGTTTCTCTCTTTCGTTTTTTTAAAATTGATTTTATTTAAGTCTTCACTGAGTGCCTCGAGGCACTCAGCACACAGACACTACACTGCCGGGTGCCATGTGAGGCAACCTGGAATTAATCACTCCTGGGAAGCGATCACTCAGCAGCCCGGCGGTCAGAAGAGGTATTGCAGGATGTCTCGACATCAAGGCATCGCTGCAGTACCCTTAGAGCGGCTAGCTTCGATCATGATTGCTTCCAGCGCTCATATTTGCTGCGGACGTACTAGGTACATCCGTAGTCCTTAAGGACCGTGTGAAGAAAAGAGCCTTTCATTCGATACTTTTATTGCCATTCATGACTTTTTATGTTTTATTGGTTCAGTAGCTGTAACTACCGAACACCGACCACCCCCCTGGCTCATTATCTTCAAAGAGAACTGTCGATTGAGCGCTCTCTCTGTGTGGCCGCCGTTCACCATAGCCGAACACCACGTGCGAGAGAAAACGGCGACCATCTTGTTTGCACGAAAGGAGACAGCGGGACTTGGTCATCGAGTGTCTGAAACCAAAATTTGACACCGGTCAAAACATACGAACGCCTGCTTCCTTTTCCCGAACAGCCAGGAGGACGCTGTTCGGTAGTTTTCTTCCCACGAACCAGGGGAACAATCGCTCCTATGAGCCAGGGGGCTCCGTTCGTGTACCAGTTTTTTTTTTTTTACTTTTTGAAATAGACCGACCACACAGCCTAAATTCATAGAACTGTTTTGGGCAGGAGACTTGTGTGCAGTCAGTCAAATGAGACTTCCATAAAATTCGAAAACCCCTTAACTGATCTGGGTGACTTTTGGATATGTTGGTCTCCCAGATCACGGCTATTAGGGGATGTGACTTTTATGGGGATACTTTGTGTCTTAGAGTACTTTCCAAGTTTTGGGGAAAATATGTTTTTCTGCCTGGAGATAATTGAGTTACCAAGTTAGCTGACTCAATTATCTCACAAGTAGAGAGCAGGGGATTGTCTGTTTGCATTGGGAGTGTTCATCTGTGTCACTGTAATGTTATTGGCTGTAGCCTTTGTGTCCCTGTCCCCCACAAGGTCCATGTGGGAGTGCCCCTTGCATGGGGACTTGCATAAAAGCCAGTGGGGCACCATTGAAATCTAATTCATGTTGTACCCTACATGAATTCTAGGCTCATGTTTGGGTAACCATCTACTTGCTGGGGAGAAACTACTTGAAAGCTGCATTCGTCTGAAACTATTCATATCTACACCCAAACTGCAGCTATAATCACTCAGGCTTAGCGGTTTGGGAGGAATAGGCGAACAGGGTATATATTATACCAGCATTTGTAACAGACCGTTTTTTGTCGGACGTACCTAGTACGTTCACGGTCCTTAAGGGCTTAAATTCTCTTAGAAGTTAGCTTAAGAATATTTAATTAGATTTGTGGTTTGTTTGTTTGTGTTTTTACCAGAATTGCAATATTAAATATAAAACCACTAACTGTAACCTCTTACCCTATTTCCTCAAGCAAAATGATATCTCAACCCTAATTCCTAATTTTATTTACTTACCCCAACCTTTAACCCTCACTATATTCTAAACTCATCCCTTCACCCAATCTACTCTCTCCTTGCTGTTCCCTGAGTGTGCCAGTATTTGATAAGAGCAATCAATTTAGCATAGGTGCAACAGACTGCGATCAAAATGTCCACAATCAAACTTGACCTTGATGAAACTAGCCATCTCCACATATCCCAACATACTTGGTCAATATAACAATATTTATAATACTCTACACTCATATTCAATACTTGTGATGGGTCGATGCTGCTCCCTATATAAAAACAAATCCACATTTTAAAATCTTCACATCTTTTAGTTACAATTATTACATCTACTGGGCTTGTGTATCTATTGCTTTTTAGATGGTAACAGAAGTAAAAATGTATACATATAATGAAAAAGTCATATTTCTCTGTATTAATTTTTACGTCTTCACTGAGTGCCTCGACCCCTTGAGGCACTCAGCCTACAGGCAGAGCATCGAAAGCCTCCCTGATGGCTTCCGATTCTCTGCTACACTGCCGAGCGCCACGTGGGGCAACCCAGAAGTGATCACTCCTGGGGAGCGATCATTCGATAGCCCGTCAGTCAAGAGAGGCATCGTTGCAATACCCTTAGAGCGGTCCTTAAGGATCGTTTTTACTTCCGCGGTCCTTAATGTAACGGATTCATCCACTCATAGAAATCACTTTAATGGTATTTACCGTCCTGACCGGAATAGTTGTGCCCATCTGCAACCAGACACCCAGAAACCTGGTAAACCCAGCATGTCTGGGGACGCTGGCTGCTGCGGAACTATGCCACTTTATAGCCCCATAGCCACCCATGTTAAGGATGACGTTGGCGTGCGTGTGACGTCACGTGCGTGTGATTGCGGCCAATCGGAATAACGAGGGTTATTTAAACTAAACTTTACATTTTCTTATTGCCCTGTCGTGGTTTCTGCCTGATGGTAATCCAAGAGTGCGTTCCTGATCTTGATATTTTGGTATTTGACTGTGGCTTCGTTCTGACTTCCCTGATTTCTGGTATCCTTGAGTTTTAGCTGTTTCTCATCATTGTGCCTGATTCTGTATCCCTGACCTCGGCAAGTATTCTGACTATTTTTTGGGTATGTTAAGTCTGGCCATCCTAAGGTCCGGTTAGACATTATCCTTAGTCCTAGGTGTGATACAATTCTGCGTGCGGGATCATCTAGTAATCCTGACACTTAAGGGATTAATCTGACATATTTATTTTAAAAAAAAAGCATATCTCAAGGCTCTGTATTGTCTCAGCAGAACCCTGAACTATGCATTTTCCATAAATGTCTGTCAATCCTACTGTTGTTCTACAATGTGACCATCGTGTTTTTTCCTCCATGTTCCCAGTACTCATGGACATTGTAAATCCAGAACCCACAAAGGCTACATGTCCTGCCTTTAGTCAGCTGCCTAGTATTTATCTAAGGATGGGCTGGTTCTGCACTCAGAACCACACCAGCTCCATCAAAGTGTGCTCCAGGGCCTTGAAAAGTATTAGTTAAAGAGTTAATGAATTTACTGTGATATAGCAACTTGCATTAAGTTTGATTCTGTATATACAATTACATACAACTTTGACTTATCAGTAATCTCTTAGTTTTGGTACAGATGGAGATAGGCACTCAGTCACTCACAGGCCGGCCCAATCATGTGGCTGCAGTGCAGAGCAAGTCAAGTGCATAGTGCTGTGCACTTGACTTGCAAATTATGAGAACAGGGGCCGAGAGAGAGAGGAGGTCAAGAGCACTGAGGAGCAGCGTGCTCCGCCTTCACAGTCATTCGCCGAAGGATCCGCACAGTGAGTGTGAGGGAGGAGGTTAGTGCTTTGGAATCAAGGTCGGCAGACTGGGACACTGTCAGGAGGGTCCAGGGAGCAGCAAGCTTTAATGTGAGTCTGCTTATTCTTCTTGTTTACTATTGCTTTTTAAATTTTTTAATTAATTGTTTTGTTTTTTTAAGGGTGGCAGGTGTTTTTGTGTGTGGGGGGGGGGGGTTTGCAGAAGGGGGAGCAGAGGTTTTCTAGCTGGGATTTTGGGGAAGGGGTTTTGTAGAAGGGGAATGGTTTTGGTTTAGGGAGGAGCAGAGGTTTTATAGAAGGGGTTAGGGGTTTTGGTGTAGGGAAGGGGTTTTGTAGAAGAGGAGGCAGGCATTTCTAGTGAAGTGGCAAGGGAAAGGATTTTGTTGAAGGGGGAGCAGGGGGTTTAGTATAAGGGGGCAGGGGTTTAGTATAAGGGGGGCAGGAGTTTTGTAGAAGGGGAGTATGGGTTTATGTAGAATGAGTGCAGGCATTTGTAGAGGGTGGCAGTGGTTTTGGTGGAACAGGAAGGTTTTTAGTGATATTATGTGTACATTGCTGTGTAGTAGATATATATAATGATATATAATTATAGTGATGTGGAATCAATCAATCTATTGATTATCTTGCGTATCTGCCCCCGGCCAAATTTAAAAAGATGCGTGCACGCTCCTGAAGTAATTCACACCAGACACAGGTTTCGGGTTAATGAAAAACTTGAGGAAAGTTTATTCTAGGGGGACAGCATGCCCCTTATAAAGCAAAATTACATCATATGCATTGTCAGAGATAACATGGAATAATACATCAATAATTGGTTAGGTGTTAAGTGGTTCATTTAGTGCTCTGCCTACTGGGGGTGATGTCACTGGTATCTTGGAGGTCTCCCCCAGATTCCAGCGCCATCTTGTTAATAAGGGTGTTAGTCGATGTCAAAGGGAAACTCCCGAGCGGCCGTTTTAGGTAAATCACATATAAGGTTGAATAATGCTGATTGTAGTTATACTGAGTAAATAGGCATTTATTTATATGAATTGGGTTAATATTTTTGTTCACAACAGATAGCATGTGTTTTGTTAAAGGAAAACTCCAGTGCCAGGAAAACAATCCATTTTCCTGGCACTGCAGGTACCCTCTCCCTCCCACCTCCCATCCCAGGTAGCTGAAGAGGTGAAAACCCCTTTAGGTCACTTACCTGAGACCCCGCCGATGTCCCTCGGCGGTGGTTTCGGGTCGGCGTCGCTCCTCCCAGTAATAACAACAGCCGGTGACGTTGGGCTGGCCCTGTTTGGCGTGCATAATCAGAATTGATGATCTCAGCCAATCCAATGCTTTCCAATCAACATCTGGCCACCATCTGAGAAGTGGCCACTATAGGTGTCCCAGTGCTGTAAATGTAAACACTGCCTTTTCTCTGAAAATCCTGCAAAGACATACTATACTCACCAGGACAACTACAATAAGCTTTAGTTGTTCTGGTGACTATAGTGTCCCAATAGTAAAGAGGCTGTTAAAGCATTTTAAAACCTAATGAATAAGTGATTGAGGATCCACTAGAACTCTCTAGCAATATACTTTGAGCAGATTCCAGAACAGTTTATAAATCTGGATGAGGGAATGGACTACAAAACTTTAACCCTTTTGATGGCACTGAGAATAAGTCACATTATAAAAGGAAGTGCATTAATATAATTACCAATATGGATACTGCACTCTCCTAGATCCCAGGGTGCAACCGGGCCTGAGGTTGGCCAATCCTCACCATGTAATATACAAAAAAGTGATGCTGGTCCAGGCACTCAAGTTCAATCCAGTGGGCAGATTTATTGGAGCAAAATCGGAACAACGCTTCAGCCCACAACAGGGCCTTTGTCAAGCTTGACAAAGGCCCTGTTGTGGGCCAAAACGTTGTTTAGATTTTGCTCCAATAAATCTGCCCACTGGATTGAACTCAAGTGCCTGGACCATCATCACTTTTTTGCAAATCACATTATAAAAGGAAGACTATTTAACACAAAAGTAAAGTGAACCGTAAAGTACCGTATTTAATTTAAATTATATGCGAGAAATCTTGTGTCTGCCACCAAGTGCTTACTGCACATATCACAGAATGGCAACAGTAATAGAATTATTTTCTCTTACAAATGTTTTTGTCAATCAGGCAGTAATGAGTGCTCAGATGTACATTTTGATGTAGAACCCGACCCATGTCTTTCCATAGAAATCAACATAAGACACTTTACCCTTTGTCTGTTCTTACCGTAACCTGAAAATGATTTACCATTTAATTTTGTATAGAGGTGTACCATATGTTGGTTGTATGCAAATAATAACTTCTAAAGATTAGCTTGCCAATATTTTGCAGCATTAACCGCTTACATAAAATGCATAACAAGATTAGCTTGGTTTATTTATTTTTATTTTGGGGTTAATTTCCCAGCAATGTCTCGCAAGCCAGACCATTAGCACCATTGGTTTAAATTTCTGTTAAAGCGCATCAAGAAGGTACATGGTGGTGTGTGTCAAACAATATAATATATGATCCAAATAACTGCATTTATTCCAACCATTAAATCATCTGCATGTGCATGCTATGGAAATAGCATTTTAGTTTAAAAAAAAAAAAGCAAGATCACCCCCTCCTGGTGACATAGAGAATTTGCAATTATTTTAATAATGGGACTGGATTTTTCCCCAACTGCATTCTTACCGTCAATCTTTCCTTTTGTTTTTATTTTTATTTATTTTTTTAGGATATGTAAAAGCATTGAAAAAAAATGTAAGAAATTTCAATTTTTATGCATCGTAAATAAAAAAATAAAAAAAAAACATTTTAAATTCTACATTATTTGTAAACAGTGCACCATTTAGCAGCCATTGCAAAAAAAAATATTAGGGTTGCAAAAAAAATAATAATAATTTAAACAATAAATAATTGGTATTTCAACGGATGGATGACACTCAGATCGTAGTTTGATGCAAGAGGAAGGTGTCATACTGTATGTGTTTCTGCCCAACTGCAAAGCCTGCGTGAGTACTGGGAGGGGCTAACAGTGGAGAATTCCTGCCCACGATAGCGCATGCTCTTCCACAGATGTTCCAGCCTTTTTCTCAGTCCATAAACTGTGAAGATGTCTATGATACCGATGAAGTACCTCAATTCTGGCCCATCCATCACATGCAATGGGTTTCTGTAATTGGGTAGTAGTCTGCGATTCTGTGCTATAACATTAGAAATATCAGACACAGTGCTGACCTGGGGCCCAATCTTCTTCAGAGGAATACGACCCCCTGATGTCATTTCTGGGGTGCCACTAAATTCAGTCCCATCATCCTCTTTGTCTGTGGAGTTTTCTTCTTCTACAGTACCTGGAACGGACGCAGAATGTGAAGTCGTAGGGCTTCCTGCCCCATTAACAGACCTGTGGGTCATAAAGAAGACATTTTCTTAAATTTTTCTATTTTCAAACACAACTGGCCCTTTATTTTCCCTAAACACTGAATGGGGTTTCTAAGGACCTTTGCTAAATCAGGAGAGAATTGTGGGTGAATGAGAGCAAAGAGAAAAGGGTATTTTTTTTAGCTCCTCCTCACTTAACCCATAACAGGGTAAACATGGGGCTGGCGATAGCACTGTAACATGCCTGTGTAATACAGAAACAAATACAAACGTACAAGATGAAGACCTGCGCTCAAACTTCCACTATTCCTGGGAAGCAGGTTTGGCTACAGTATCTTAAAAAAACAATCAATCTCTTGCATTGGGCTGATTTTCTGAAAGCGGGGCACCAGACATCCTAAAAACCAAGAAGGTAGGGGGGCGGGGCCTGACCGCCAAGCTGCTTGGTCGCACAAAGCGTGTGCTCCGCGTGAGAATTCACTATTGAGCTCTTTAAAGGATATTTATCCCAAATAATCTGCCACCTTCGAAGCTGGGAAGAATAAGTGTAACCCTGAGACTCAATTTGGGGGGTTTCCGTGTCATAACGGACAACCTAAACTTGACGACAAAGTGCGGCCTACCGGTAGAGGCGGGCAGGGGAGAGGCGGCCGATCTCCCTGCGAGCTGCTCAGCTGGAAGGCACTGAAGTGGTCGGAACCCTGTTCTCCCGCCCCCAGCCGGTGGGGGTTATCCCGGCGCCGTCCCGCAAGTTCTACTCCTCAGCTGTGAGTGCAACTAACCTGCCTCTGATACAAGTGCTCTGCTGAGCCAAGATGGCGGCTTCTGAGCCAGCTCCTGACACACTCGAGCAACGACTGGAGGAGGTCTTCCGCAAGTTCTGGCAGAAGCTGCAGAACAGGGGGGATCAAGCTTCGAGAGAGCAGCGCAGAAACACCAAGCTGCAGAACATACCTCCCAAAAATTTGCACCCTGCGGCAGACATGCATCAGAGACTACTGACAGCACCTGTCTCTAAGAAGCCACAACAGAACAAGGCCCTCACGCCACAAGATGCCCAGCGCCCGATATCGCGTTCCTGGGAGAAGGGCCTGGCGGGGGAAGATCCTGATGCCGACCCCATTTTGCTGGAAGAAACAACATCAAACTACACCTTCCCGAGGCTTAGTTGGTGGAGCGAAAAGCAACCAGAGTACTGGGACATGCACATGGGCTCCTGGGAGGGCCTGGGGCAAACGGGAAGGCCAGTATTGGACAACCGAGACACTGTCACCTAACGTATTTCAGATAATGAGCATGGGTATCGGATGAAGAGCTGGGATGCCAGGGTGGGAGAGATCACAAGAGCCCGGGCTAGATATTGTAGTCTCCCTCTATAACTAACCGATTGCTTGTTTTACCTATTGACTTTTTATGTTATTTTAATATCTAAGCGACACCCTCCTACCGAGATCCTGGAACCCAGTGGGCTCATAGCTTACTCTGTATTAATTTGAACCCCCGCCATGTTTCACGGAGGCCATCTTGTCTGCAACCACTAACGCATGCTCAGCCTCCCCATCTTGAAAAGATATGTGGAGTTAGATGATAGATAGACAGTCATACTCCCTTTACTCCACCATACTAGCGTTAGTTGTCAGCAGCTCATACTGTTTTACCTAGTTAAGTCCAGTTTAACTGTCTAACCTGTCAGTTTAAGCGCACCCTAACTACTGGGACATAATTACATAGCCTGTATTACTCTTGTTAAACTAAAAATGTGCAAGTTTACCAAAGCCATGACAATGTCCTTGTGTGAAATATTGTGCTTGCAGAGGCTATTGTGGCTAAGCATACCTTTTTGTATATCTCTGCACACAAAAATAAAGAATTATATATAAAACCAAGAAGGTAGCCCTGGACTTCCTTTGATCCTCTCACTTCATATGCCAGATGTGAGAGGATTATTTGATAAAGCAAACTAAAATTCAATTTAAAGAGTTGGCCAAAGAGTAAGTTCTGGCTCTGCTGCGTGTCTAGCCTTCGTCTGCTAAACATACACTGCCACTAAGTTACCCAACCCTGGCACTAATTATGTCCATGCATTGTGAGGGGTCCAAGCTACATTAATTCCTCATCTGTTCTTAAACAGTTACTGTAGCATCCCAGAATTGTTAATGCTATGGTCAATTATCCCTCGTATTTAAGAAACATGTGTTGTGGGGGTCTAAATTTTAAATGTAGAAATCCACACCTCTGTAATTAGCTCTATCCTGGACAAGAGTGCCTCCATCATGGCTCCTGGACAATCACTATAAGCTTTAGTATTAAACAGGCTTTTAACGTGTCCGTCAGCATAGAGAAAATACAGAGAGAGAAGAAGTAACAAAAAAAAAAAATTTGATTTCTATTCCTCCAACACACTTTGTGCCCTGGCTGTGCCAGAACCCAACTGGATTGTGATGTCAACTGTTAAATCTTTAATATATATTTAACAGGCCCACAATAATGATAATACGATAACAATGATAATGTTGCAATAATCCATCTGTTGTCTTGGCAACCCTGTGGATGCATGCAGCATCATTAAATGACATCACCACAACTACCTCATGCCTGATGTCACACACATGCTGTTCCCCACCGGCTTGCATGGAGGAGGGTGACAGGAGTAAGAAGGAGGGTATTTAACTCCCTAATCTATGTACTATATTGCCAGCTGGTTCCCCAACCTTCTACAAACCTTTTGGTGCGAACAATGAGGTTCGCCAGAGACCAGTTTTGATTCTTCTCATCTGGGTGCAGCAGCTGGAAACCAACCAGGAGGCTGTAATCCAACACATTGAGGTCCTGCAAGAACCGTGTGTCCAACTCCATCTGCCGCAGGAACCACTGCCGTTGTTGATCTAAAGGATGAAATTAAAGGAGAACAATTTCAGGCTGAATGGGTACTAGGCCGTAGGAACATGGGGTTGAAGATGGAAAGGCAGGAAGCAATCTCTCCGAAGTGAGCAGAGGAGTAGCAGGTGGCCAATACAGAAAATTTCAGACAAAGAATTGTTATTTATATTTTTTGTTTGACGATATTTCTACCTTTTGGAAAAACAGTAGTAGACAGTTCAAATCATTCTTTTTGGAGCTATGATGTCCACAAATATATTTTTCTGAACTGTTCCTATACAGTGGAATCGATACTGGGGTCAGGCTCTCTTATAATCCACTTGTGCTTATATAACAGGATCTGGAAAATCTGCTCTGGTCACTTCCCCCTTCTAGCCTACATCCCACCAAATGTAATTATTTTGCTAGGTTTTGCAGACTTAGCGTGAATGGAAACTAGAAATAAATTGGTGTTCAAGAAAGGGCAGAGTTTTCATCACGGGATGCAATACACTCTTTGTGTGTCTTGATATTGGGAGCTTTAATTGAGAGCTTTAGTTTTTTTCCATCCACATGATCTGGATTAAAATAAACTGGCCAGATGGAACGCCCTAGAGAAAATGGAAATTTGTGTCTTCCAGATATAGGTGCAGCAGCATTTTATTCACAAATACAAAAACACAGCACAGTCAGCATTTTAAACTCTAAACATCGAGACACGGATAGAGCATACACCAATTATGGACTGTCAGCCTGGTAACCTCCCACTGTATGTCCCCAGAAGTAACTCATATGTAAGAAAGTTCTTGGTCGAACGTGACAAAGTGATGTTTATTCAGCCACAAGGCTGACTTGGCACCGATTCAACCTAAGGAATATCTTTTTGTGTGTGTGTGTTTTAGAGAAAACTATCATCCCATTTTTATTCATACAGCATTTTTCAGATACATCTCAATTTCCTTTTACAGTTTATACATTAGACATCAAAGATGGGTGATATCAGAAGGCATTTTATGCAAAATAAGCTTCTGCCTTTAAACAACTTTTGCTCAGAGATTTGAATAGAAAATCTTTATCATTCAATAAACAACAATTGTCGAGATCTAATAACTTAGTGATGGTAAGACTTTTGTATTTACTTGTAACACAACCTTTTAACAATTTATAAAACTCAACAAAATGCTGAGATTTTTATTCCACTGAGTGGGTACGTTAATGATGTACAGTAGTGAAATAACGATGAGTCTATGAGAAAAAAATACAGGAAGTCAACAATTTAAAATAGTTTTCTGTAATATACATAGAGTCCACAGTCCCACATCCAATGCCAAAAAACACACAAAGCACAGTAGGAACACAACAGGAAGATATACATTTACAAAACCAAATCTATAAAGAACACTAGTGTTTTTGGAACCCTGACTGCGGAGCTAGTAGGAGGATCTACTCACCAAGGCAGATAACATTTCCTTCAAAATTCAGGTCTTTAAAGACTTGAAGGACCCTGCTTCCTTCAGGCTCTGGTTCAGTCCAGCGGCTAACGTGACAGCCTTTAATATCATATCTGCAAACAGGGTTATGGTTAATAAGTAATCAATAATAACCAAATCATGTAACAGGACAAAAGTAAAGACTTGTCTCACCGTCCTGTGATCCGCTCATCTGGAAAGAACACACTCTGCATAATGATGAAATATTTCTAGGAAACGACAAATTAAATCTTTTTTTAGTGATAAACAGTGGAACAAGTAGGGAATGCAAGCTAATAATTACGTTAAAATATCTTTATTTAGTTACACAATGACACTAAACAGATCCACATAATAAAGGCTATGCTCTGTTCAAAATGTTGTTTCATTGTCTGTGTGTGAGTTTGTTGTGTTGGAAGATCTTGAAGTTCTTTCGCTAAATATTGAGTTAAAGGTCGACAACTAGATTTCTTACCTTTTTATCTTGAGCCCTGGAGATACTGTGAACGCCTGTAAAACAAGACAAGACAAGGTTTAGGAATAATTCGAGCTAGATCATGCCAATAGGCAGAAGAAGGATGGCAAACATCCTTAAATGGACACAACACAAAAAAGCAATCAAGTTTTTATCAGCTAGTCTTAACCGGTCGGCTGTAACCCACCATGTGGAGGTGATGGGGCAGGTTAATGCTCAAAAGGTTTGTGACCTCTGACAGGCCTGAAGAGAGTGACTAAGTGGTCTGTGCTTTCGGTAGCAGTCCCAAACGCTATAATGAGGGATGGCACCTTGATTCGACATCATGCCCAGACTTCTTCAGGTAGTGCAATGGGGTGTTGACAGCAGTGTGTTCGGTTGAAGAATACACACACAAAATATGCAGCCCTCACACTGCTCTCCCCAACATCATAATCGAGAACAGGGGAGAGAGAGGAGGTAGACATGGGATGAATATTTGTCAGAGAACAAAGCATATGAGTGTCAGGCAGAACCAGTGGCCCAACACGCAGAATTAAGTAAAACACATACAAAGACAAACAGTAACAACGTATTACCGGGCCTTAGAATGGCCGGAATTAACGTAATAGAATAAACAGTCACGAGCCGAGTTCAAGAATACAGAAAGGAACAAATACGGTAAGAACAAAGCCAAAGGGTCAGGGATACCAGAAATATGGGAAGTCAAGCCAAGCCTAGATCAATAACCAATAAACAGTTTCAGGAACGTGCTCTCGGATAACCAACAGGATGGAAACCACGACAGGGCACTGAACAACTGCAGGTTTGGGTTTAAATAACCCAGTAAACCCTGCTATTGGCTGATTTTATTCATGACACTTTTTAATGTTCATACTAGTATTTTATATCTGTCTACCATCAACACAGCAATGAAGGTAATCCATGTGTGATATTCCTAACATTTCTTGTATTTTTTAGCATTCCATTTTCAGATTATAGTTTCATTTTAAATAGTGTTTAAATTACAGCCTGCAGTCATACACCATGTCATGCATTTAGACACTCTCCTTCACACACAGAGATTCCAGAAGCTCTCACCTACGATCTTTACCAGCAGGGAGTGGGGGTACGCCTGAAAATGCTGAATGTATTTTCGGAGGATTTGCAGTAGGAAGTGAACCTCTCTCTTACTTTGTGTCTTCAGGAAGAACCGCTTGTCATTTCTGAAAATGGTGAAGAACAAACCACTTATATGTGTGACATGATATTTTCTTCATCCTACTCTGATCCTTCATAACACCCATTTAAGTTATAGGAACACTATAATGTCAAAAATACAAAATGTGTATTAAACATTTTAGGTGACCGCAACTCTTGTTAAAAGAGTGATAAAGTTATTTTACTCACCTTTATTCCAGTGCTGCGTGGGTCTCCTCGGAGATAATCAAATTGTACAATCTCAGCCAATGCTTCACCACAGGAAAGCATTGGGAGGATATTGCGCATGTGCAGCAAAATGTTGCACTGCACCTATCCCAACTCCTCATAGAGATGCATGAGTTAATGCATCTCTGTGGGGAGCGTTCAGCGTCTCAATGCAGAGTGTGGAAACACTGGTAGTCTGTGCTGTACAATGAGTAACTGTCACTAGAGGTGTTCTCTGAAAAGGCAGTGTTTACAATAAAAAGCCTGCAGGGACATTAAGCTGTAGTGGTTTGGGCAACTATAATGTCCCTTTAAATATCACAACCAAAGCATTCACTCATTTCACATAGCTCCTTAACACAACTAGTATTGTGCATCTCAGTACCTTGTTGCAGTTCTATATTGGGTCCCACGATTTTAAACTCAAAATGTTTTGTTTTTTTAAATGAAGTTCCATAAAGGTGGATAAAGTCAGTCTCTGCCCAGGCTGTAGTACTTAGAACATGAACACGGTCAAAATGAATGATTCAATTGAAATTGGCACTTATCATTTGCCACACTTTAAACACACTCAGAGATGACCAGTTCAAAATGATTGGCTTAATAACCCATTCAGTCACTGACACCCACAGACACTGTGGCTTTCACAAAGCACGGTACATTGGTTTGTGATGGACAGTATTATTTGATGGCTATTTAAAAAAAAAAAGTTTAAAAAACAAAACCTAAAATTCAGAATTATGGGTTAAGCCTTGAGTTTACAATCAGTAGATCCCCAGCTCCAGAAATATAAGGCCCAATGATTCCTTTAGGTTGGCAAAGTATCATGTGAATCAGAATTTAACTATTCGTCTACATTTTGACCACTCCGGCAGACTTTCTTGGAATATAACTTTTCTATCTTAGCAATGATACAGGAACCCTCTACAATTATCTGTGTTATTATTATTTATAAAGCGCCAACAAATTCAGTAGCGCTGTTCAATGGTTATCACTAACTAAGCATTTCAGATCAAGACCCAACAACTGGGGACCTAGTCTGTATCTTTCACACTGTTACTAAATGACAAATAAAAGCTTACTTTGGGAATGATAAATGATTAAAGAAACAGCATTTCATCAAGGCAGGGGACAGGGGTAGGCAACCTTTGGCACTCCAGATGTTTTGGACTACATCCCCCATAATGCTCTGACACCCATAGTGCTAGCAAAGCATTATGGGAGGTGTAGTCCAAAACATCTGGAGTGCCAAAGGTTGCCTATGCCTGCTGTAGACTCACGTTAGGAAGAAGTCGGCTTTGCTTTTGGAGTTGCTAATGAACTGCAGGAACAAACCACACGCGGACAGAGAACGACTGTAACTTTCCTCCGACAGGCCTAGAGATTGGCGAAAGTGGGAGAATACCGGTCCAGCGTACGTCCGCATCACATAGCCCTGTTACAGGCAATAAATAAATAAATAAATAGGTTGAGATGGATAAATGAATATTGGCAGAAGTATTTTTTTATTATAACAGTCATAACATTATTTGAACGATTTCATAGAACTGTAACTACCTGGGTGCAATTTTATTCTTTACAATTCGCCAGAGTTTAGCTCTTTTTTTTTTTTTCCCTTCCTCCACTCGGCAAGTGGTAAATCATTTATATGTCATCACACAAATATCAGAGAAAAAATAAGTGGCGAAGCAACTTACCTCATGGCCTTGCGTGAGCTTCGCACTGTAATCGTCATCCGTAAGTGCGGATTGCTAAAAAAGAAAAAAAAAGTTACAGTGTAGTGACACGCAGGAGTATCGATTAAGTAGAAATATAGAAATTAAAACTCAAAAGCAGAAGTTAATGTTATATTAAAAGTGATTTGGTAGGTGTAAAAACACTTTTCAATGAATTGCAACCCCCTAAGAACACATCTTTTACACTTAAAGGGACACTGTAGGCACCCAGACCGTTTCAGCTCTTTGAAGTGGTCTGGGTGCAGTGTCAAAAACGGACCTTTGGTCCGTTATCTGACGCTGGTCGTCCTCACACTCTGCATGAGGACCTCCAGTGTCATATTTTCCCCATAGGAAAGCATTGAATAATGCTTTCCTATGGGGAGGTCTACTGCGCACACTGCCATTGTTGCACATGCGCATTAAATGTCCCCCGCCAGCTGACATCTGCAGGGCAGGAGCATGGATGGAGCCTGACCCTGCGCCGAGGGGCATTGGCGCTGGTTTCAGGTAAGTGGCTGAAGGGGTTAAAACCCCGCGGGGGGGACGACCTATTAAACCTACAGTGCCAGGAAAACAGCTTTGTTTGCCTGGCACTATAGGATTCATTTATTGGGTTATTCACTAAAGTGAGAATTCAAAGAGAATTTCAGCTTTAAGGCCAAAGTAGCAGAACTGGAAAAGCCAAACTCTAAATCACCTACGTTTTAAGTTGAGCTAAAGTGAGAAATTCACTTTGAATTCTTACTTTAATGACTATCTCGGTTAGGAGAGAATATCAAAGAATACAATGCTCATCTGTTACAAAATGCCAAGGTGCGTCTTTTTGGAAATGGTAGCTAATCACTGGTGGACCTATGACTAATGTCTTGTTAGAGCACTGCTCCTGTTATTTTAGGTGGACAAGGTTTCCATCGTATTAGTATGGGGTTTATTCACTGAACATTGAATTGTAATGAACTGAAATCCAGATGGCAAAATTCGGAAAACATTTCTAATCTGGAAAAAATTCTCCATTCAGCATGGCTACGTTAGCCAAAATGTTGCAATTTGAAGTTTGATCACTAGAATCTTTTTTCTCTTTTTTTTGTGGTTTTGATGCTTTCTAATAGATTTCTGTGAAATGTTACCAATTATCTTCCTTTCCCTTTGCTTCTTACATTAAATGTACCACCGGGAACCCAATGAGAATTGGTAATTGGATTTGATTTTGGATTGTGATCTCCCAAAAGGTAGATTCACTGAGCCACAATATCTGTTCCCGGCAAAGTAAAGCCGCAATGTCATGCCGTACTTGCTTTTTCTCAATCGCTTCCTCTTCTCTTTCCTACTTTCTTTTTCCCCCCATTTTTCATCTATTTATAACTAATAAACATAAAACAACATAGGGACTACCTTGTCTTGTGTATTTTTTCTACGTCTGACTTTCTAAGACACCTGCCACTACCTAGAAGTGTCAATCTCCCCAGCCATCACCTGTTATGACTACAGGGAATTAGCGTCTCACATGTGCGAGAGTATAGCAGTGATGTCAGCTCCTGGTGCTTCACCTGCCGAAACAAGATGGCTGAGCCTGTGAGCGACAGGTTTAGATTAGCAGAAATCACCTTTCCCTGCTCCCTCGTCCGTAGGATCCCCAGCGGCGTTGTTACCATAGGGGGTCTTTGAACGTTCTGCAAAGTCCCTAGTTGATGAGCGTTAAATGTCCGTTATAGCTTGAATTGTGCTGTTACTCCGTATGAAGATGAGAGTAATACAGACCCATAGAGTAAATACTGTATATTAAAGTAGAGCTGGTGGCGTTGATCTCTGATGGATATATCACAAATTTCTTACCGTAGCATCGCTGCAGATGATATCTTGTATGGCATCCTTTAACCCTTCCTTTAGGTCACAAGTCAGTGGGTAGAACTCATGCTCCCTGTCGATCTCAAAGAGCCCGAGAAGCTTCCAACGCTGTCGTAGTTTCCAGAAGAGCCGTCGATGCCTGGAACTTCCGCGGGACTCTCCCTGGCAGAGAGAAATACAAAAGGTTGTGATCAATAGATGTTGATGAATTCTATAAAGACAGAAAAACAAACTGCGTTCACAAAAGAACCGACCTTCCCCTCACATGCTCTAACAGGTAACATTACTAGAAGAAGGAAGACAGACACAATTTGCCTGGCACTGCGGTGATACACAAGTAAAAAGGCAGAGTAAGTTGGGAAAAGAGCAAAACGGAAAGGGAGGAGGGGAAGTGTGTATTTCACAATACAGAGACAGCAATACCATAGATCTGTCCATGACAGTGACTGAATGAGGCAGCAAGAGGGGCACACAATAGGCCCAGGCTCGGTCCTGCACTGTCAGGAGGATTCAGAGGAGGGTGTGCTTTGAAACATGTGAGTGGTGTGTCAGCGCTGTGCACAGATATCACCCTCTTCTAATGGACAGAGAATAAAGCATTTATGTGTGTGCCGGAGACAAATTAAAGGGCTGAGCAGCAGGATAAATGCAGCAGGCAGTGAAGCACACAGAAAGTGGAATGACAGGGCAGGAACTGGGGTACAGAGGTGTTCTAGGTTTATAAGTAGATCTGACCTGGGGAGATAACAATGAGCTAGTGGCACAGGTGAGCAAAGACACAGACAGGAACTGGGCAGAGACAGGTAGGACTCAAGGGGCAGAAGAAGCCTGGGCCATCCCGGCAGGTGCTGGGGCTTATTTAAAGACACAGTGGAGCAGCAACTGCAGCACAGACAGAGAGACAGACGCAGCAGACAAACAGAGACAGACATATGGGGAGACAAGTTAGTAAGATTCTACGATAAACCGACTTGATGTACAGAGAACAGTTGGGGTACAGACAGGGGTTTAGGGGCCACCGAGGCAAGATCAGGTGCGTAAATAGGAACCTGAAAAACAAAAATGCAGGCAAGTGGGGTACACGGTGGTAGGGCATTACCAGATGGGCAGGGGTCTCTCACCTCTTTAGTCACAGCACTATTAACGGAGTCACGTCTTCCTTCCCCATCCATTCTCAGTTTCCTTCGCTGGATCACATATCACACACGGCCATGGCATAAATCACACTCCCCAGACCCTTTAATGGCCCCAACTCCAGCTAATCTTTCTCCTCATTGCCCAAGCATCTAGTCACGTCCTTCTGTTACACACATGCCATCACTGACAGTTTCTCTCTGGTCACATACCAAAGTCTCATATACCCTGAGCGTCCTCCTTACCACCCCCTCCTTTACCCTGTCACTGCTTCCCCCCCTCTCTCCACTCCCTGTCTGATTCCACCACTCATATCCCCCTAATCAAATTGACCAGGCACGTACCATGTGCAGCAATGAGAGGGTATATCACTGACATGAGTTTGTACTTGTATATTCCCTCTTTTATTTCTATAGACCGTAAACATAACCCACATTCAGAGAGCTAAGCTAATAAGCAGACTCGGCAGCACTCGTCCATTCACCATACCCATAACCCCCATGTTCTGTAATAGACTGTCCTATTGAAATCCCTGCAGCCCAGAGTGAATGACGTAGCGAATGTCCCATTCACCATTTAAAGGGGAATTATACACCTGGCTCCAGATAGCTACACTGGCTAATTTACCCTAATTAGCTGCATGCAAGCAGCCTGCTGACTAATACATAAACAATACTACTATTTATTCCAATGCATTACCAGTAAAATTATAATCAGACACCTAGGGAGGTTTTCTTCTGCTTCTGTTAAAGCGGCACTGTCATTGTCTGGGGTCTTTGCAGAATTCGCAAAGACCCACATCGGGAACTTCACCGCTGGGAGTCCATAGTCTTGGGGAGCAGGCAAAGGTGATGTTCATTACCCGAACCTGTCCCTCGCGGGCGCAGCCATCTTCACCCGGTGGGTTCTCTTCAGCGCCAGGAGCCGATGTTATTGATTTACTCTCTCGCACGAGGTTACAATATTGAGATTTATAGAGGATCCTGTAGGATCCTTTCTAGGTAAAGTCAATTCGCTGCAGCCATCACTGGACCTTTCTAGATGGCGGTGACTGTACTCTGTGACTAGAAGCGTTAATATGTCAAGATAAGTATTTCGCAGAGATTCTATCTTTATAAAACACTAATTTTTCAGAGGGGGGTGACAGTGTTGCAAAGCGATCACAGTGTGTTTGCCTTTCCCCTTCTATTAGTATAATAAAGCCACGACTGGAGTAACCTTTAGAAGCCTCCAATTGGTGTATTCCCCACAAAGACAAAGCATTTAGCAGATTCATCCCCTCGTGATCAGCCATGAGTCTTCCTGACAATAGACCCCTGTGCAATGACAGACAGAGCGCGTGTGTGTGTGCGCATGTAACATTTACACAGAGCATAATGTATTTGTGACTTTGGTGTAGCTCCTCTTTTTCTCCATGCAGGGCACAGCACAGAGGGTCCACAGTCACAATACAACACAGATAAGATTAGTACAGATAAGGTTTTTGCGATGTGTAAAAAAAAAAAAAAAAGTAAATCAACTAGTTTTAGCCAGTTCCTTCAATAGGAATACAAAGAGTCTTAGTGTACTGGTGTACCTGCTACATACAGCCACTCTCCTGTTCTGCACACTCTCAGTCTCCATGCTTGCGGACTCTGAGCCCTGCTTCACTCCTCACTCACAGAGTGGTGATGTCATTGCTCACTCACCCTCCCCTGCGCAGTGTCATTGAAGTGCCAGGTCCCTTAACCCTGCAGTGGTAATTATTGTAGTTTTTAATAAACTGCAATCATTTTCATGAAGAGTTACCTCCACCTCTACCAGACAGCCACTAGAGTGACTTCTGGGTGGTTAGGCGACTTTTGGTCTCCCCAAATGACACTGGACGTCCTCACACTATGCATGAGGACTTTCAACGTCCCCCGAAACCCTATTATCATTATACTCATTATACAATGATTTCCTATGGGGGCGAAGTCCTAATGCAAACGCAGTGCCTGCCGTGCAAGCGCATTAGATTCAAAATCCTTGCCTGGAAATTATAGACCTGTGAGCTTAACTTCTGTGAATGGAAAATTATTTGAACAGCTATTAAGGGATAATATTCAGGAATTCATTGGGGAGAACTTTGTTATTAGCATAATTAGCATGGTTTTATGAAACTTAGGTCATGTCAAACTAACCTAATTGCATTCTACGAAGAAGTAAGTAGAAGTATAGATCAGGGTGTTGCAGTGGATGTGATCTACTTGGATTTTGCCAAGGCATTTGATATGGTTCCTCACAATAGGTTAGTCTTCAAATTCAAAGAAATTGGTCAAGATGAATATTCTTGGGTAGAACATTGGCTTAAGGATAGAGTACAACAAGTTGACATTAATGGTAAATTTTCAAGCTGGACAAAAGTGGTAAGTGGTGTCCCTCAGGGTTCTGTTTTAGGGCCGCTTCTATTTAACATATTTATAAATGATCTTGAAATGGGCATTAAAAGCCATGTATCAGTGTTTGCAGATGACACAAAACTTTGTAAAGTAATAAAATGTGAGCAGGATATTGCCTTGCCGCAGAGGGATTTGGATAGATTGGGGGACTGGGCACTAAAATGGCAGATGAGATTTAACGTAGAGAAATGCAAAGTAATGCACTTCGGGGTTAAGAATGCACAAGCAATTTACACCCTAAATGGTAGTGAACTAGGGATAACCACACACGAGAAGGATTTGGGAATTGTTATAGACAACACATTAGGCAGCAATATGCAATGTCAATCTGCTGTTGCTAAGGCCAGTAAGGTTTTGTCATGTATAAGTAGGGGCATAAATTCTCGAGATGAAAATATAATTTTGCCTCTTTATAAATCACCGGTAAGACCACACCTTGAATATGCTGTGCAAATTTCTGGCACCTGTTCTAAAGAAAGATATCATGGCACTAGAAAAAGTGCAGAGTCGAGCTACAAAATTGATAAAAGGAATGGAGCATTTTAGTTATGAAGAAAGGTTAAAAAAATGTAATCTCTTTAGTTTGGAAAAACGGCGCCTGAGAGGGGATATGATAACATTATACAAATATATTCGGGGCCAGTACAAACCATTATCTGGAAATCTATTCATAAACAGGGCTATACATAGGACACGAGGTCACACATTTAGGCTGGAAGAAAGGAGATTTTATCTAAGGCAAAGAAAAGTTTTTTTTAACAGTAAGAACAATAAGGATATGGAATTCTTTGCCTGAAGAGGTGGTTTTGTTAGAGTCTATACAGATGTTTAAACTGCAATTGGATAAACACTTGCAAAAACATAACATACAGGGATATAATTTCTAATTAGTGGGGTCATAGCTGCTTGATCCAAGGAGACATCTGACTGCTATTTTGGGGTCAAGAAGGAATTTTTTCCTAGTTTGTGGCAAAATTGGAAGCACTTCAGACTGGGTTTTTTGCCTTCTTTTGGATCAACAGCAAAAACATATGTGAGGAAGGCTGAACTTGATGGACGAAGGTCTCTTTTCAGCTATGTAACTATGTAACTATGTGTGTGTCAGTGTTAGACATTACAGATCTGCTGGTGTTTCTCTTCATTTTCCTGTAACGTTTTAGCACACCGATATTTCTACATGTCTTCTGTGCTTTTAATTATATTTATTTTCCTTTGCTTACTTTAACTGTTCTTGTAACTTGCTATTACTATTCATATGTTATTGCTTATTAGGGGCAGCAATTGGGGGTTAGGGAATGTAGTGGTGGGTTTAGGGGGTGTAGTGGTAAAGGGTTGTAGTAGTGTGCTTTGGGGCTGTAGTGGTAATGGGCTGTTGTAGGGAGTGTAGGGTTGTTGTGGTCAGGAGTGGTAGTAGGGGGTTTGCTGCTGTAGTGGTAAGGGGCTGTACGGGCTCTAATGGTAAGGTGCTATAGTAGGGGGTGTAGGGCTGTGGTGGTAAGAGTTTGTAGTAGGGGGTTAGGGACTATAGTGGTTGTGGTGGACCGCCTGGCACCTGGACTGGGTGCCTCTGCCAATCGATGCTTACTAGTATTCCCAAGTACTTCCAAGCACTTCACCAGACACCATAACCACCGTCATCCCCACAGTTAGCGTTAGAGGTTGGGTTGTCACTGTCCTCCACCTACCCTGGACCCAAGACTGGGATCCAGCTTCCATTGGGTAGACTTCTCCTACTCCAGAGACTATAGCAGGATAGCTTTTACAAGAGCTGGTGATTATAATCCAAGGGAGAGTAGGGATTATAGCAATTGCCAGAGTGAATATAGCTGTTCCCTCCAAGCATGAGATGAGGCTCTACGTTGAGGGTGAAGGAGAACTGGTTTAATGAGAGCCACATGCAGCCTTATATGCAACTCCCCATGCAAAGGGTTTCCAGATACATATTCCAGGGGCATTCCCCTCTGTACCTGAGAGGAGACTACAGTAAAACATACACATAATTATATGGGCTCTTAGTTCCAGGACATTCCCACACAAAACAGGGTAATCCCTCCCCTGTGCCTGAGAGAAAATTGACTCAGGAACTGTACTAAACTCAGAAAACATACATTTTAACAATATCCCGAAAGCCCCCATCTGGGTGACCAACATATCCAAGATCGGTTCAGGGGTTCGGGATTTTCATGGAAGTCCTAATTTTGACCAACCGTGCACATGGTCCTATGTCCAATACAGTTCCAAGGAAACAGGGCTAACGGTCGGTCTCTCTTTCTGGAGTACAAAAGTACATAAATCACATGAACGGAGTCTTTTAAAGTTCATTGGCCAAGGTATATTGAAGGGCCCATAGTCCTGAGGCAGGAGGCTGGCAAGCAGGCTCCTCCAGAAGCCAGTGGCGAGATTCTGTTCACCATAGTGGTAAGGGGTTTTAGTAGGGGGTTTGGGGCTGTAAGGGTTTGTAGTAGGGGTTTGGGGCTGTGGTGGTAAGGGTTTGTAGTAGGGGGCTTGGGGCTGTAAGTGTTTGTAGCTGTGGTGGTGAGGGGCTGTAGTGGTAAGGGGCTATAGAATGGGGGTGGTTAGGGGCTGAAGTACGGGCTGAAAGAACCCAAAAAAGTCTATTCACCCCTCCCTGAGGTTTACCTTGGGCCAGGGAGAGGAATAATTTTGATCACTGGTGGTCCCAGCCACCCGCCATGGACCAGCCCTGGCATAATCGTTGCACTACTACACAGCTGAGGTGGTGCTTAGCAGGGCTGGTACTATGATCTCTAGCTACACAACTGAAAATGACCCTTTACCCCCCTAGCCCCTTTGTGGGTCCCTTTATCCACCTCCAGTCCCTTTGTGTGGCTCTTTCACCCCCACCCCCAGCTCTTTTGTGTGGCTCTTTCACCCCCCAGCTCCTTTGTGTGGCTCTTTCTCCACATAGACCCTGTGCTTGTCTCCAATGCTCCTGTGCATCCCTTTCACCACCAGACACTTTTCTGTGTCTCTTTCACGCCTCACTGTGTGTCCCTCAACCATATTCCTTTGTGTCTCTTTCACCGCTAGCCTATTTTGTTTGAATCCCGCCTCCCCCCCCTTCCTATCCTTTTGTGTGTCACTTTCCTGTCCAGCTATACATGCATTAATATATACAGCCAAAAAGAAATACATGCACAAAGGCACATTCATACAGACACATTTATTCAGGCAGTCACAGTTATTCAAGCGCAAAAATATACAGAGACACTGTCATAAAAGGTACACAATCAAACAAACCTTACCATACAATTTGTCATTAAGGCGCCATCGCCCTGCCACGCTTTGTGCTACACATGGAGCAGGGATACGATGTGATTTATATCACCACCCCCTGTGCAATGTACCAGAGCCAGAGGCTGGGCTGCAGCTCACACTCTACATGGAATGATCGGCAGGAGGCTGTGTGCTCCTCTCCAGCCAATCACCCGGCTGCCTATACCACCTTATGGTAGCGCCAGCCCTGATGCTAAGAGTGATTCTTCAAAGTGACTGTTTTCAGAAATGGTTTATGCACCACCATATAGCAAGATTAAAAAAAAACCCCTCTGTTGATTACTCTCATTATAAATTCAAAACATTATTTCCAGTGGGAGGCTGGAGCTACAATTCAAACCACTTATTGATTCTCATTGGCTGCTGGTATCACATGATCAAGATGGCCCCTTCCATGCTTAAAGGGACACTACAGGCACCCATACCACTTCAGCTCATTCAAGTGGTCTGGGTGCAATGTTCCATGTCTCTTAACCCTACAGCGGTAATTATTGCAGTTTCTGAGATACTGCAATAATTACTTCTTAGGGCTAACTCCACCTCTAGTGGCTGTCTACCAGACAGCCACTAGAGGGACTTCTGGTTGCTTAGATGACTTTTTGTCGTCTAAATGATGCTGGACGTCCTCACGCTATGCACGAGGACTTCCGCGTCACTGGAATCCCTATAGGAAAGCACTTTGGGGAAATCCGAGGGGAGAACGAGGGGAGGAGTGTGGGCGGAGGGACATTGGCACTGGATTCAGGTGAGTGACTGAAGGGGCTTTAACCCCTTCAGCGCCGCAAGAGGGGAGGTGCTAGGGAGGGGTCACTGTAGGAACCTATAGTGCAAGGAAAATGGCTTTGTTATCCTGGCACTATAGAATCCCTTTAACCCAACATGGATAAACCTTCCAATCATAATTCCAAAAAACAGGGTTATTCACCAAAGTAAGAATACAAAGTGAATTTCAAATTTAAGGCCAGAGTAGTTGAATGGAAAGCACAGATGACAGAGATTTTTTCCAGTTTAGCCCATTTCACCTTAAATTTGAAATTCACTTTAAATTCTCATTTTAGTGTTTAATTCTGTAAACGTACTATAGCATATGCATGAAAACCAGTAATTAGGAATCACGCTAAATTGGCTCCAAATGGCTCTTTTATTTCTTGCATAATGCAAAGACAATTAATTAAAATGACAGAAAAAATACCTTTTCAAGATATGCAAACTTATATCTTCCTTACATGAAAATAACATTAATGGAAAATGGATAATGTATGCCTCTTACTGTATAGTTATTTATGGAATGGAATGTATCTGTCATTTTAACTCTGTGACTGATAAAAATTGCCATTTTGCAGAAACTTATTAAAGTCAATTTCGCTTTGCCGGTGATTGGTTTTTCCCCCTTGATAGTCATGTAGGAGGTTAAATAATATTAGCAGGGAATATGTTATGTTAATCTCTGCACAAGGGAGATATTGCAGGGTTCCCTAAAAACAGGGTTATTCCAACCCCACGTCATTTGTGACTCGGATAGGAAAATAAGAAGTCACCTGTGCCCGATTGTGTAATCTTTAATTAATCTTCATCGTCAGGGTCAGGTGAGAATAGGACTTGAACATCATTTAACTGCTTTCCCTACAACGTGTGACAGAGGAATTTAAGCCTATCTATAGATTCTAGTGTCAGGAACCTCTGCTATATCTCTAAATTAATTTAAAGTTTAAGACCAGACTAGCCAAGCTAAAATCTAAGCTGACTTGGGAATGTTTTCTAGTTTGGCTATTTTGGGCTTGATTGTGAAATTCACTTTTAATTCTCACTTTATTAAATAATCCTGTTAATGTTTCAGTGATTTGGTAAGGTATTTGTGTTTAGTGGGTTATTAGCTTATATTAGAATTGTGAAGATTGTCACGGGTACTGCATCAGTTCATCCTTAGTAGCTGAGTAGTATTTGGTTAAAGTTTTAATTTCCTCTTTTGAATTCTCCGCAACATCCCGGTTAGTGAACAAACACACCTATCTGTCAAATTAGGCAGTTATTACAAAGAGTGTGCAGAGAGATGGCATCAATCGACTCCAGCAAGAATAACCCACCCTAGTTATCTTCAGTAATATCATAGATATAGGGCAGGGATAGGGAACCTTCGGCACTCCAGATGTTGTGGACTACATCCCCCATAATGCTCTTACACACATAATGCTGGCAAAGCATCATGGGAGGTGTAGTCCAAAACATCTGGAGTGCAGAAGGTTTCCTATCCCTGATATAGGGCATTATTCTAGCCACCAAGGGGTGACTTGGCAGCAGTTCGACTCAGTGAACTACAAACTTAGTGAACTACAAAGTTTATAAAGACACACTACCCATGATTGTTAGAATTAAGGTACAATAAAATACATGAAGATTTGTGATTTATTAATTGCAATGACTTGTGTCTGTGCTGAAATGGTGTAATTTGCATAGGCTTAAGAAAGCACCCATCTTTTAAGTGACCTGCTGGTTTGACTTACTGCTCATTTCAATAAGATTTCTGGGTGCCAGAGAAAGCCATGTTATTTATCAATCTACTCCAAAAGAGTTTAACAAGAAGAAAAAAAAAAAGCACTGTGTTATTATAATTATTGGCATTTATATGGCGGCAACCTATTGCGCAGCACTTTGCAAAATTAAAAAGATGGGGATTTAACAATAAATGAGACAATTACAAAAACTTACAGGAACAATAGGTTGATGAGGACCCTGCTCAAACGAACTTACAATCTAGAGGAGGTGGGATATAAAAATACAATAGGAAGGGCATCGACGGGGAAAGCAACCAATTAAAAAGATGGGAAAGTAGTAGAACTGGCGGTGAGCGTGGAGTGTGGCCCTTTAAGAGAGCGCAATAGACAGGTTTATGAAATAGAAGCTACTCTGGGGGGCCACAAGCTTTCCTGAACAGATTGATTTTGAGGGACTTCTTAAATGATTAAAAACTAGGGGAGAGTCTTATGGGGGTAGGCAGGCTGTTCTAGAGGAAAGGTGGCCGACTACGAGAAGTCCTAGAAACCTTCTAGGAAAAGTAAAACAAAGTACGGTGTTGAGTGATCTCAAAACAAATAAATCCCACAGACTACAAGAGCCCTACTAATTCTACTAACTATTCTTTTCAAAGTGCAGAAGGTTTAAATCAATGCAGATAGCTGTTGAATTTTTCAGGACAAAAAGATTTAAATGTTAAAGGATTGCCTGTTTCTAAATAGTCCATCAAAGATAATTGTTTGCAAACAAGCACCAAAATCAGCCTGTAAACTACATCATGCTATTGAATGGCAGTATTAACCCTCCGTGTGGGACATGGGAATCAGCCCCTCCAACACCCAAAGGGTTGGTGGTAAATGGTATTACGGCAGGTAGAATTGTTACTATAATATTTGATTACTAATTAGAAATGTAAAATCATGGGTCATCTCATATATAATTTCAAAAAAATTATAATATTCTAAATTATATAAGAAAATACCTTTATTGAGGCACAATACAGAAAGAGTTACGTCATTTCGTGTTATATTTAACCTGTAGGTTCCGTACTTACAGATACTCTGCTTCCTGTTACAGATCTAGCCTTATTAAGCCTCTCCATTTTTGGTTTTTGATTTCAGCATCTTAGAGTCATAGAAACGCAGTCTGGAAGTAAACGTCGTTGGAAAAATGGGTACCAGTATAAAATGCAATGTCAACGTCATTTAACGTTCAAAAAGCAGATAAATTTACGTGAAGCTGCAAAGACTCAAATTTGCAGAGCGAGGTGCAAATCATTGAACATAGGCCAATCCAGGAAGGGATCTATTAGATTGACGCATTCCTGATCAGGACATTCAAATTGGCTATTGAGAAAACTCCATATGGGCCCGATTCAATATACACTTTGCTGTAGCAGAAAGTCCAGAAATCAATGGGTAATGCCGGAGGTAAAACGACAAAGACTACAATTTAGGGATTGACACAGCATGCGTTTTCTAGTTTGTATCTGGTTGCTAGGTAGCTGTTTGTTATACTTCCCCTGTGTTTTGTTTTAAGACTCTGTGGGTTTCTCATGGCTTACACAACAAACAATGACAGCCTAAACCAACCTGTACTGACAAACCTGCAGGAAATAGCACAGTTCCAAATAAATGCCCATCACATAAACCTCTCAATACGATGTCCACAGGTAGATGTGCGACAGAATGCAAACCAGGCGCTGGAAATTCTATTAAATAAGTAATAGAATGTTAATACATTAAAGGGAATTAACGGGATGGAGTTTGGATAATAATGAAAATAAAACACACTACAAAATCTTAAATTGTTTTTTTCTTTCTCTGCCGTGAGGAAATGGGTTTTGTTGCAGCATTTTAGTGTAGGAAAGTCTTTAGTCTCTGGGGATGCTCTAATCCTGTGTTTATTTACAGCAATCAGCAGACAAATTGCTATCATGACTCTCTGCGCGTAACCAAAGAGACGCAGGGGAACCGCCAAGAGAATGATCTAGACAGCAATGAAGTTCAATGTAAAATAATAAGGGTTTATTAGCAGAATACTAAATTACAAAATTCAGGCCAAACTTGTGGAGTTGGAAAAATTCTCAGTTTGACATGGTTTTGCCACATATATTTTGGCCTAGATTTTTGCAATCTGTTTTAATTCACTGTTTAGCAGATAAACCACAGTATCACAGTGACATTAACCTTATAGCACATGAGCACGACTATTTTAAAAGCTGAATATAACTCCGTCTTCTCCAAAAGGTCACCAATAGTGCAGACATTTGAATTGTAATCATTTGCCCACATTTTTTTAATCCCTGCTAGATTTAAGATATTTTATCAATCAACAAGTTTAGATCACCAAAGCCAGATATTTTTTAAAATCCTATTTCAATTCTTTGTTTTTGTAGGTGGTCGGTATATCTTAAGATTAACAGAATGGTTTGCACATGTGGGGTCCCCAACAGGTTTTAGTGCCTAATTGGAGGGTTTATCTCCAGGTGAAGTCCCATGATACCCCGTCATGGTATATAATAAACAAGGGAGTTTGTCCACTTAACTGAGAATTGTCAAAAATGTATTTATTTATATATAAAATATTTTACCAGGAAAGATACATTGATATTTCTCTCGTTTTCAAGTATGTCCTGGGTCCACAAAAATTGCTATTGTTACAATAGGATACAAGATTACAAAAATACAATATACAAACTATATATATATATATATACACACACACATATATATAAATGTAATACATAACAGATAATAAATATATTCAACCATGACAGGTGCATTCTCTGCTGAGGTATATTGCCATAAATCTCTTAAAAGATTTCAGATTGAATGAAGATTTGACTGTGTCCCTGGGGTTATTCCAGAATTGCGGTGCTCTGTAGGAAAATAAGGATCGAGACACTTTATTTTTGTATTGCGGTATGCTGAATATCGTACTAGTATTGGATCGGAGGTTATAGGTGGTGGGAACAGCTAATATTAGGCTAAAATAACCTAGATGCAAAGAGTCATGTTGGAGAATTTTCATGATGTTTTTTTTTTTCTTACCTAAATGTACAAAACCCTCATTAATTCTCTGAAATTCATAATTTAGTGAATAAGCCCCAAGGAGTTTTATAGGGAACTGGTTTTACAAGAGTTGTATCTCTCCGGATGTTATGACTCTAGATGTGGGCTATTTGTGATCTACAGAATATTACATTTATCTAAAACGTATAATACTCTTATCTTTAATCTTCCAGAGACATTTACAAAGTACAATAAAAAATATAAAACATAACCATAGTGTACTTTTTCGCTTTTTTATTCAGGTAATTCAAAGTCAATTTTGATTATGTCCTTTTAAAAACAAACAAAAAAGTTAGGTTAGATTTCTATTGAGGAGCCAGAACAGAAGTGCTTTTTCATGTGGTAAACGAGTGTGGGAAACAAATGTGGAAAAGTCCATTTTTTTTTTTTTGGAGGTCCTCTGCACACAATAGACACGATGCCAAGTGGTAGCTCTCTAATTGCTGATGAACTTTGTAGGGTAGCTGGAAACCATGAATTCTGCATCACACATACTGGGATACTATATGCACCAAAACTAATTTAGCTTAATGAATCAGTTTCTGGAGCCCTAGCCACACCTCCCCTGGCTGTGACTGACACAGCCCGCATAAATAAATTGGTTTCATTTTTAATCAGATCTCAACTTACATCAGAATAATTTGTCTCCTGCTTTGTAAATTGAACTTAGTTCACACACACAGGAAGCTCTTGAATGCTCTAGCAGGCTATTAACAGAACAGGAGATAAGAAATTCCAAGTTAAAGGGGCCCTCCAGGCACCCAGACCACTTCTGCCCATTGGAGTGGTCTGGGTGCCAACTCCCACCACCCTTAACTCCGCAAGTCTAATTATTGCAGTTTTTATAAATTGCAGGTTTAAGTCCTCCTCTAGTGGCTTGGTATCAGACAGCCACTAGAGGGACTTCCGGCTTCTTAAAACAACGCTGGATGTCCTCACGCTATGCATGAGGACCTCCAGCATTGCAGGAATCCCCATCGGAAAGCACTGAATAATGCTTTCCTATGAGGAGGTCTAATGCGCGCACGGCCATTGCCACATATGTGCATTATTTCTCCCCCGCGTGGACAAAACCTGACCCAGCGCTGAGGGACATCGGTGCTGGATTCAGGTCAGTCACTGAAGGGGTTTTAACCTTCAGCAACATGGGATAGGGGCCAGTGCCAGGAAAACGTATTTGTTTCCCTGGCACTGGTGAGTCCCTTCAAGCAGAATGTGTAATAAAAGAAGTTTAACCCCTTAAGGACCAAACTTCTGGAATAAAAGGGAATCATGACATGTCACACATATCATGTGTCCTTAAGGGGTTAAGGACACGTCATGATTCCCTTTTATTCCAGAAGTTTGGTCCTTAAGGGGTTAAACATCAGATCTCTATTTACAGGAAGTGTTTAGGAAGGCTCTGTAAGTCACCTGCAAGACGGTGTGATTTAATTCCTAAATGGCAGAGAATTGACCAGTAAGAATGCAGGGGCACGATCTATTGCTTAATTAAGCTAAAGTTGTTTTGTTGCTAAAAGGGTCTTTTTAAATGTTGTTAGGTATACATAAAGATATTAAAAGAAAACTCTTTCTATCCTTCAAAAATCAATATATATAGCTGCAATTCAAATGAAACCCTTTAATTACACCATCACAAACACACAAAAAAAAATCTAGGTTTTTCTTTGGTTCAGAACTTTGATTACTGCCTCCATCCTTAAAGGATTAAAATAATTCTAATTAACAGTCTATGGTTTTAAAGCACAATCAAGACTTACAGACTCAAGCAACAGAGGGGAGCATGATGAGATTTATAATTCAGTGATACATATTTTAAGAGAGCATGCGTTTTACTACCCGGCACAAGATTTATTAGCACTCCTGAATTAATTCTCTACTACACGTAACAAAGTGGTCTGGGTCATGGATCTTGAGTGAAATGTGTCTTCATATGTGGACATCAAGATAACATTGGCCTACAAGTCATACCTTTTTCCAGCCAGAGCAACAAATGCAAGTGGCAGACTAGAGGCTTCGGGAAGTGTAGTTTAATATAAGTCATAGATCAACATTTGTGTAATGTCTGTTCTGAAGGGTAGCTTGGGCATCATCACGCGATTACAGCTCGAAGCACAGGGCTTGGAATGCAAATTATAGGCAGGACTGTGACATTTTTCCTCCCGGGGAAAGCATACCTCTGTCTGTGTAATCATGTTATCTTTTTAATACGATTATAAGGGGTATGTACTAAACAAAACAAATATTAGTGGAGTCAAATCAGTCTTACACAGAAGTGAGGATATGGTAAAGAGTAACTTAAAATCTTAATGTCCACCTTTTAGACAGTATGCTGCAATATTCACCACTAGGAGGCAGCCTCATTTCAAGGTTTCAACAAAACCAGGAGATTGCATTTCTATTCAGTGTACGGACAGTGATGCCAATGAAGTCTTCTACTGTTTAGACAAGAGTATAAAATGTCCAGCTGTCCCAGCCATACGGATGGTTAGGAATGTCATATAGAGATAGATTCTATCCTTTGCAGAGCTGCTCTGCCACCAAAGTCAATCACACAGTTGAAGTATTTGTGTAAATTCAGGTCCTCATTGTGATTTACTCTTCGGGCTCCGACCTTTCCACATGATGATAGTCACAAAGAGTCCTAGGTATAAGAAATACACGTCAGACAGACAGTTTTATTATGAACACATCCACCATTTAGAGGTGGAAAAGGATAACCTATTAAAAATGCACCGCCCGCATCTCCTCACAGAAAGGACACCTACCTGAAAAAGAAGCAGAATACTGCCCCAAAGCATGCACCCCTTGAAATGGCAGAATACGGTTCTATAGCACCAATAATAACCTCCTCTTTGCATCTCCTATTATCACCTTTTCCCATGCTAGACTGCAGGACTTCTCTTGTGCGGCACCAACCCCCTGGAACGCACTTCCCCACGCTGTCAGTCTTTCCCTGTAGTCTGCCTTTCTTTAAAGGGATTCTATAGTGTAAGGAATACAAAGTTGTATTCCTTACACTGGAGGTGGGCAACCTTTGGCACTACATCTCTCCTGATGCTTTGCCAGCATTATAGCTGTAAGAGCATTTTGGGAGATGTAGTCCACAACATCTGAAGCGCTGAAGGTTGCCTACCCCTGCCTTACACCATAGTGCTCTCTGCGGCCCTTGGGATTAAAAGCAGTGGTGTACATACCCTGCGACCCGGTATGCACGCCAGTGTTGCGAGCCTCTTCTCATGGGGGGCCCAGGAGCTGGCCACCTCAGGGCCCCCCGAGGCTGGCCCTGGTGTCACCAGGCGGACAGGCTGGTGGGCGCGCTAGGGAGCACTCTCCCCTGAGCGCTCTCTGCCCAGCTCCCTTGTGCGCCGCGTACTGATGCCGGAGCATGAAGTCATATTCCGGCATCAGTATGCGGCGTGCAAGGGAGCTGAACAGGCAGCACTCAGGGGAGAGTGCTCCCTCGCGCTCCCGCCAGCCAGACAGCCAGCCCAGTGACCAGCCGCCCAGCAGCACCACTGGACCCCAGGGAATCCCCTCAGCTCTCCCAAAAGGTAAGGAGGTTGGGGGATTCAAATAAAAAACAAAAAAAAACAAAAAAAAAACATGTGTTTGTGTCTGCTAGTGAGTGTCAGTGTGTGTGTTGGTTTGTGTGTCAGTGAGTGTGTGACTGTGTGTGTCTGTTAGGGAGTCTGTTTGATGTCTGTTAGTGAGTGTGTGTTTGTCAGTGAGAGTGTATGTTTTGTAAGTGAGTGTGTATGTGTATCTGTCAGTGAGTATGTATGACGCTGAGTGTTTCTCTGTCAGTAAATGTGTGTGTCTGTTAGCTAGTGTGTATGCATCAGTTTGTGAGAGTGTGTGTGTTTAAAACCCCTTCAGCACTTACCTTTCTCCAGCGCCGGACTCCCTTGGCGCTGGGGATCCCTCCGCCCCAATCTGCCTCTCAGCTCCGAATGCGCATGAGCCGCGCGTGCATTCAAACCGCCCATAGGAAAGCATTACGTAATGCTTTCTTAATGATTTTCACAGTGAGCCTTGCGGAAGCGCCTCTAGCGGCTGTCAGTGAGACAGCCACTAGAGGCTGGATTAACCCTCAGTGAAACATAGCAGTTTCTCTGAAACTGCTATGTTTTCAGCTGCAGGGTTAAAACTAGAGGGACCTGGCACCCAGACCACTTCATTGAGTTGATGTGATCTGGGTGTCTGTAGTGGTCCTTTAAGTGTGTGTGCATCTGCATGCACTGGCGTACATACCGCGGTCGCATGTGTTGCGGCCCTGGCCCGCGCAGAGTAAGCGCGAAGGGGGGCCCACGGATCAAGTTTCACACCGGGGCCCCATGGGTCATGTGTATGCCACTGATTGAAAGGGTTAAGAATTCCTTCATTTACCCGATTACATTACTGCAATGTTTTAGGTTGCAGGACTAAGGGGGACAGTGACACTGAACCCAGACCACTTCTCTAAGCTGAAGTGGTCTGGGTGCCTATAATGTCTCTTTAAATGCTCCCAAAAGACATTCTTGTTCAGGGAAGCCTACCACTAAAATCAGTAACCAACGCATTTCACTTAACCAATAAATGCCCCCATCTCACTCTGTATTATTCTCACCTTTGCAGTCCCAACATTCTGTTTCTCACCCCACCAATCCATCCAGAGCCCTAAACTGTATTTGACAAAATTTGTAGTGTCTCTTAGATGTATCCATGGACAGTGCTGTGGAATGTGTTGGTGCTTTAGGAATTAAGTATGATAACTCTGCAAGGTGTTTATATTCAGTCCACAGTTTACTTAACAGAGCCCTGAATAATGCTATTTTATTTTAAACTTAGTTTTGTTTAGAAGCCATACTTATTAAGGAGTTACTCACAGCAACATGACCGTTTCAGTTATTAGAAGTGGTTATAGTGTTTCGAGTCTGTATGTGCAGTGTTTCACAATAAAATGTTGCTCATACAGAGAATAACCCCGCTGCTGCTGGAGGTGTAACTCCACCTCCAGCAGTGTCATTGGGGCATCATATACAACCCAGAACTAAAGTTCCGCACTGACTAATGTCAACTCTGTGCATATTTCTTTGCACAGAATTGCAATCATTGGCTGAGAGTGATCTGCTTACGCTCTCAGCCAATAAACGGCCAGCAGGTTCAGCAACCAGCTCTGCAGAAGCCGGATGCATGTCACAGCCAGACTTGCTGCCCGGTAGGACCAGGTAAGAAGGTGAATCATTGCAAATGGTTTGCGCTATTACGTGAAAATGGGGGACACGGTACTCCTGGTATCATAACCTCTATAGAGGTCTGTAGTGGTTATGATGATTAGAGTAACACTTCAAAGCAGTGAAATAGCAACCATAGCTATTAGAAACAGCCTTTCACACGTGTTGAACAGCTGCACAAACGCATTAAATGTTACTCACCAATAAACAGAAGCACTATCAGAGCAGCCAGTAATGGTAGCAGCACAGAGTATTCTCGCGGTAAGAAAAAGGAATGGATCACATGATCGCTGTCAATGAATGGCTGGGGAAAAACAACAAGATAGGTGTGTTTTACAATAAGTACATTGAGTCTGATCATCTTGTAACAAAGTAATTAGCATAAAAAGCATCCAATTGAGCATTTTATTTCAGGAGCATGATAAATTACATTACATTAGGGGGCTCCTCATATGCACCAAATTTTGTCCAGACAGACAAAATTATGAGAAAATGATTGGATTCCGAGCAGACTAAATATTTTCATTTTTACTAAAACCTAATCTGATTGAACCAGAGTCATTCCAACCAAATAAGCAACATCCTCTTTTACATTCAAATTCTGTATTATATATGCAGAGCTTAACTCATTGGCAGAGAGAGTCAGCTGACTGCTCTCAGCTAATGAACAAAGTCTGGATTGCAATACTTGGCTCAGGAGAGCTAACAAATGTTCTGGATAGTCCAACGGAGTTGGGAACGGTGCCCAGCGGACCCCAGGAAAGGAGTCACAAACAGTTCAACTTCTTACAAAGGGGAGTAATGCCAGGACACCATAACCAGTTCAGCGAGCTGTGGTGTTTGGAGTGTATCTTTAAATCCGCACATTGTGAATATCCAGCGGGCATGTAATCATGTTGTATGTCTGTGTTATAACATATCATTTATTCACTAAACATATAATTCGCTAAACGCAAATCGCAATCTTTAGCCTAAACTTGCAAAACTCTGACGGAAGTGTGGTTGGTAATCTCCCCATTTCTAGACTGATCATATTGCAATTTGGCAAATATTTACAGAGCGTGTGGACAATTACAGCCCTGATTTATGGAATAAACGGGGTGTGGTGGGTATTATGGGCAAAAATCTGAATGGATTAGATGAATAACAAAATGTAAAAAGTAAAAAGAGGGGCAAATATTGGCATTGCATGGGGCTAATTAGGAGGTTAATTAATACCTAATTTACTGAGTTTTTATATGCCTAACAAAAATCAATCTGTATTTGCAGCATAGACATAGTATTGGCCCCCCACTGCCCAGAAATGACCAGCACTGGTTGCCATAGTGAATTAGGTACACCAGTCCCATACCAGGCATATGACCCAGACAGTGTAATAGACGAACAGGAGGGAGCTGAAGGCCACCAGCCCAGCCCCAGCCACCCGGTCACTGCTTGTAGCCTGCAGGAGAGACAGAGAGGGGAGAAGGATCAGTAACAGCAATAATGGGGATCAAACATGTCAACAATGTATCCATGGAATTATCCTCACCATTCCAGCCTGGGTACTGACAGCCACTTCCGGGTTCCGTCACTGACCAATCACACCTGACGGTCAGCGCGGAGCATCACGGGAGAGAGAGTTTTTCCAGAGGGTTTGCACGCTGATCACGTGGTGTATCTGACTTCCTGTCTGATGTATTGCCACGTTCTTTTAAGACCCAGACATCATTTAAAGGCACAGGACCTATAAAAAAAATGCTAAACTATTTTCATAGGGCGGTTTATATAAATTTGGGATCTGTGACTTTTCATTGTCGTCTGTTAAAACATGGTTATATTAATTTATATACAGCAGTATATTTATTTTTGTAAAACCACACACGGCGACACATTCAGCTACTGTACCAAGGTTTATAAAAAAAAAAATATATATATATATATATATATATATGTATTAAGGCCTTTTGGCCTGTAATTGTGGGAGGGGCGTATGACTCACCTTCTCCCTACTTAAGGGACACCCCTTACCTGGCTCCATACCGTTCGAGGTCAGCGCTGCACGAGAATCCACTTCCGGTTCACGTACGGCGCCATCTTGCTTTTCAAAAAATCCGCGGTTTCGTTTGGTGTAGCTGTGTCCAGGAATCCTTACAGGTTTTCCGCCCGTTTCAGCCACGCACATACCCGGTGTTTCGTCGCAGATTAAGTCCACAGGACTGCAAAATCGTAAGTCCGTCGCCCGGATCATTTCCCACGGCGTCGCGATTTTAAAACGGCCTTACTTTACGGCCACACGCTTTACGGCCAAGTCACAGGCATATTAACCCCTTTGCTGCCGGCAGGCATGTCGGTTTCGGTTTTTCTTGTACTAAGCAAACTTGTTCTGCAATATCAGTAGCTATAGTTGGTTTCATGTTATTACTGTTATTTATTTATGCAAATTACGAAATCCTTGCATATGACTGGGGCAATACCCCTGTTAACTACTTATAAATAAGTATTTATTAGGTTATGGTTTCAATCTATTAGCAGATATGGCATTATTAAGTTTTATTGAAATTCTTCATGTTATATACATATATTTATGGAGTTATGCTTAAACAAGCTTTTACATTTTTTCAGATATTTCATGTAGGATTTAGGTTATAAATTATGTTTAGAAATTACGTTTCTATCATACCATGTACTCACGTTTCTTACATGGCACTTATATATTCTGACTTTTTCTTTGTGTACTCAAACGACATACCAAGTACACAAGAACACGGTCTCAAAAAATCTCACAAACTTTCGGGTTGAATCACACGTCTTGATTCAACCACTCATACGTCACATTGTTTTCCTAATTTGGGATAATTTCTCAAATATTTCTGTACCTCGTACTTACCTCTTTTCATGGCTTACGTTTACGGCCTAAAATATACAGTATTGTTTTAAATCCTGCACCTTATTATACTACAAACACTAGCATTACTAAATCATACGCATTAATCCTGTCACCATAGAGACATATCATACACACCCTAAGCATGGTTACCATACCACATAACAGGGCCAGTCGGGCCAATACCATTCATAAATTCCCCTTCCATATGTACTGCTAGCACTCATCACAGCTAACTAGTCTAAATTGGTATCATAGGATCCAATTCTCACACTATCATATCTGGTTTTCTATCCCTTTAGGTTTTTCCAGTTTTCTTTACCTATCGCTTATCAAACTCATACATACTACCAGGTACGTTAAGCCTGCTCACGCCATACATCACATATGGTTCCTCCTCTACTTAGGACATAGAGTACTGGCAAATTTTAGGGGTTATAGGCCCAAATAGGTATCCCCCCTCCGGGCATTCTGCCTATCGTTTAGTGGTCCGCGAGGCCAACACCCCGCCTCAACGTTTCGGAGGTAATGCCCCCCGGGCCACACGTGAGTTAGCCGCCTCGCAATTATAGAGAGGGTGCCACCTGTCACTCCCTTCCCCTGTTTTCTTGTATTGTCACCGAGAGGCCTACGAATTCCTGCCACTACGTCGGGTGGCCTCAAATAACCCCTCGCGCCAACGCATAGATAGAGCCTCTCATAGCCACTTGGCAACTAGCAGGGCCTCACCTGTCACCAAAGAACAAGATTAATTTTTCGCCTCATCCGGCATAATTAGCCTGCCAGTACATCCCCTGGGGTTTTTTACGCTAACCATATACTTTGTAATCTAGTATGTCTCAAGAAGGGGTAGAGGATTTCTCCATCCCAAGGACTCCGGCTAGAACAAACACCCCATCACAGGAGGAAGATACGGCTAGTCCAGCATCTTTCAGATCATGGACTATCCCTCGCATCACTAGCGAACTCAGGAGACGACAAATCCCTTTTCCAGCAACAGCAAGGAAAGCGGAACTTTACAAATTACTACACACCTCAACCGATAACATGGACGCTGGGGAAGGGTCGAGCCAGTCCAACCCAGGAAACATACATGACATGCTCACGTCCCTCATGGCATCCATGAGCAAGGTCAATTCTAGGCTGGAGAAACTTGAATCGGTCACTACAGCCCTCACTATGGCTGGACCGGCCACGGCAATTCCCCCATCAGTGGTGGAGTCGCAATCAGTTTCTCCAGCTATCACCTCGGATGACCAAGAGGTTTACCCTGCCCACATGATTCCTGAGCACCTCAGGAGAGATATCCTGGAAGGTAAAGATGTCAATCTGGCCTCACTACTAATTGCCTCCCAGGATATAGTGGAACATAAGACCTACGCTTATGGCGATATTTCTGTGGTGGTCAAATCTAGGGATGCACGATTAAATAGGAAGCTAACCATTCCAGAATTTGTATTAGCTTTTGGCATTTATCGGGATGTGATCTGTACGGTATATCCCCACAGACGTGAGGAGTTTGACTTATAAATGCACAGGCTGGTTGATCTGGGCAACAAATATGGTAGGTCAGCTTTCTATGACTACCATAGATCCTTTTCTGCCAAAGTATCTGGCGCCTTCTCACAGTACGGGACAAGGTCCAACTGGAGTAAGATTGATACGATCATTTTTTGCAGGCACTTTGCAGGTCTAAGAGCACCGGCCTGTGCACACTGCTCCTCCATGGCTCATACTGCCAATTTTTGTCCGACCACTGCGAACGAACCTACCACCTCGCAGGGCACTAGCTCCGCTGTGTCAGCAGAGAGAACACCCAAAGACAAACTGGGTCGACCTATCAAGTTTTTGGGGAAGTCCCAAATATGTAATAATTTCAATGTCGGTGCATGTAATTACAGCGGTTGTCGGTTATTGCATATATGTTCAAAATGTTTTAGGGCACATGCGAAAACCATGTGTCCAAATAAAATGTACCCTAAGCAATACTTAACTGAGATAAATATTTCTGTACTCACGGCATTACTGTCACAACATCCATCTAGACATTTGGTAGACTTCATCATCACTGGTCTATCACAAGGATTCCATACTGGTCTCATACACATGCCTTCAGGAATACTTGAATGTCCTAATTTACAATCTGCACAACAAAACCCTACAGCGGTTAGCACACTCATAGCCAAAGAAGTGGCAGAGGGCTTCCTATTGGGACCCTTTCAGTCCCCTCCTTTTTCCACATGGCGGACAAACCCCATCGGTATTGTCACAGGGAAATCTTCTCACAAACAAAGACTTATCATCGATCTGTCTGCACCTCACACCTCTGCCTCACCTAGTCTGAACTCCCTTATCCCCTCTGAGGAATTTTCACTTCAATACTCCACCATAGATCACGCCATTACAGCTATCATGCTGGCAGGGGTCGGAGCATGGCTCAGCAAGACTGACATTACAAATGCCTTCAAATTATTGCCTATCCACCCTACACTATGGCACCTGCATGGCATTAAGTGGGCCGGGCACTACTACTTTTTCTCACGCCTAACGTTTGGTTCAAAAAGTAGTCCGGCCATTTTCGACGTATTCGCCGAAACATTATGCTGGTTATTATTAAATGTAGCCAGATGCCCTACAGTTATACACTACCTGGATGATTTCTTACTGATCGAAGAGAACACTTCCCCTCCCAGTAGCCTCATAGAAACCATCAGTCTTTTTAAACAGGTGGGTGTTCCAGTCTCCCCCACCAAAACTGAAGGACCAGATACAGTCATCACCTTTCTGGGAATCATGCTAGACTCAGCCACCATGCAAGCCAGCCTGCCACGCACCAAGATAGAGAACATTCTCACCAACATTAACCTCTACATACACCTCGGTACTTGCAATCGCAAAGAATTGCAGTCTCTACTTGGGTCACTGAACTTTGCCATGCGCATTATACCTCAAGGCCGGGCTTTCATCTCACGGCTCCTAACCATGTTCCCACTGTTTAGACATGATGCACACAGGTTACCACTGGATACCCAAGCCACGGCAGACCTACTTATGTGGAGAAACTTTTTGACCACCTGGAATGGGAAAAGCATGTTTCTCCCTAAATTGTCTGACTCCTCACCTACCATCTGGTCAGACGCGGCGTCTACCACAGGTTTTGCAGCAATTTACGGGAATGAATGGCTTTGGGGTAGCTGGCCTCCAGAGGTACAGGACCTGGAAGGTTTTTCCACTACCTCAGCTCTATTTGAGATGTATCCCATTGTGGCAGCTGCCGTGACATGGGGGCATCTATGGGCAGGTTCGTCAGTACGTTGCCACTCAGACAACCAAGCTACCTGCCACATCATAAACAAAGGCCGATCCAAGTCACTGACCATTATGAGGTTCTTGAGGAAACTCACCTGGCTGGCTGCATGCCATAATTTCTTCTTGTTTTGTGTCCATGTCCCAGGTGTTTGTAACACGGCTGCTGACAATTTGTCTCGTTTCAATTTTCAGGCTTTTCGGCAAATACTTCCGTCAGCCGCACGTACAGCCACGACCACTCCACCTTTCCACCAGCTAGTCATGGACTAGAAGCTATTATGCAACATAGCAGGACATTGGCACAATTAGCACTGTCCACCAATACCCGGAGAACATATGACAGGGCTTTCCTTCTATTT